TTTTTTTTTTTTAAAACAAATCCACAAATTTATATAATAATCAAGTTTTATTTAAACAAGACTGCATTGAGTGAAGGAACTATTACGTTTTACATACTTACGTACATGTGTCATGAATATATTCACGTATATATGCGTTTAAACATGCAAATTGCGGTAATAAAAATATTTTACTTGTCTCAAAAATGGAAAGTAATATTTTCACACAATATCGTATCGTGAAAACATTTAAAGTATTTAAAGTAATATTCGAACAACATCTCTTTATCAATAGAAATTATATTCATACATCGAAATAACGAGTCTCTTCCTTCCTTTAGAATTTTCTCTTCACAATACCAATTAGCGTGTCAATAATTTATCAAATTAAAACTGGCAATTTTTATTTTTAAGATAAACATATCAGTGTGTATTGATGTAATCATTATATCATACGGCAATCTTTGATTTCGTTCGTTAAAATTTATAGCATAACGGTAGAATATTCTATCGGCTTGTCATAGTGCAACTGATTTTCCATTTCCGAACCTAACGTATTTGTTACAAATATCAGAGAGATCAACAGAGATTTTTGCAAATTCTTACGTGCAAAAATTAAAGACATCTAGATCGTTGAATAAAAATTTGCGTTGAACACACTTTTCTCACGCTTAACATTCTTTGACAAATGCCTATGTTCGTTAAACATATTAAATTAAACATGGCACGTTTATTATTATACTGAGCTTTTGACGAATATCAATAGATGGCGAGAAATTAATATTTTATTTGATCATCACAGCATGTGGATACAGGTGTACTTTTTAAATAACAGAGTATGTTTGCCCAACAAAAAGCTGCGATACTAACAAACGAGACTCGCAATACTGGCGGTACTAGTAGAAAATTTAAAAACTGAACTGGTAACCAATACATACACGAAGTCTAGAAATAAAAGAACGACAAACCAAACTGGAATGGAAACAAAAATTTGTTGAACGTTATAAATAAAATGATTGAAATTACCTTGAACGTTTGCAAAAATTTTGCTTTACATTCATCGAACGCGTTTGATTTACCCTCCATCAAGCTCATACCTAAAACATTAATAAATATGGTAACAAAATATGTAGTTACGTTCTAAGAATCAAAGACATATATGTACGTATATGCGATACAGAGAAAAATTAAATACAAACTGATGAAAAACAGCGTAATTAATGGTGGTGTAAGAACAAATTGGTCGACCAAAAGTTTTGTGAGAACAATTTTTATAGTTTTGCCTTTATAAAACATATCCAACCATTTGTACCTGATGGAAACAGTATCGAACGATTTGATTAATTTTCAGTCGATTTTCCATCGTTGTTAACGAACAAATGTTACGGGGAAAAATGATTTCGATCGATTAACAATTTTCAATACTATCGAAAAAATTCGTGATTTATGATTCATGATGACATTAGCATTAACAAATGTAACACAGGCAATGCAAATGGCACAACGCAGTAAGCTCACCGAAAGTAACGAGTCGATCAGCAAGCCGATGAATATAATCGTGCGATCATTATCCAATGGACAGTGTTCATTCCACGTTGATATTTATAATAACAAATGTCTACGAAAGGTCAGCACAGATATTATCAAAAGCAACTAATTGTTTAATGGCATTTTTTCGTATACCGATGTAAAATTAATTATACGTATATAGTTTTTTGTTCAACTCTCTAATATCACAGGGTCTAATTTTTAATACTGTCGTCGAAGTTGTTATCATTGTTTATATTTTTATTTATTTTAAACGTTTGCTTCCAATTTTAAAGAAACATATATTTGTACGAAATCGAGAGAAATTCAGTCGATAATATCGTAATTATTAATAACTTTCGTGTTTTATTTGTCGCAAATAAAAAAAATATATATATATATATATTATATGTACGTAAAGTGCCTCACTATTTTGTGATAAAAGCTGATATGATAAGTGATAGATGACAAAATGGACAAACGATACAGTGTCGTAAAAAAATTAAGTGATATTTGATACCATCCGTGTAGCAACGGCCCTGCAATCAAGCAGCCATAAATAGCATATCGCTTAAGTTGAGGCCAATTGTAACTTCTCGGTTGCATCGAATCATTTTCGTTCAATAAACCCAGCATTTGATCAAATTTTCTTATCCAAACAAACAGCGGTTTCTCAGTTTTAGAAGTGTCCGTCTCTTCGCTGTTTACCGATGACGAAGACGACGATAACGGAAACTACAATCGGAACAATCGATCAATTAAAAATGTCAACGAAAATTGTATATACATTTTTATCGTACAGTACTGTTACACTGCTTTACCATGCGTAGTAACTTTGTATTCCGTAGTTATTTTGTTTTTTATTTTATTTAAGAAGTCCTTTCATTCGTTTGAAATTTATCTCAATCGTAGAAAAAGTGATAATTACCTTGAATATTTTGCTGTAAGTCTGTTGTGCAAATTCGGCGCCGGTATAAAAAGAAGCGTATATCAGTGAATTGAAGAGGAGCGGTCTTTTCTGTGCAGAACTTTTCAACTTTTGAACTACCCTAGACAGAAACATGATTGCGAAAACTTTTCTACAAGTTTTCAACTCCGACTATCTGAAAATTAATTCGTTACGTTACACGTATAACTACGATAAGATTTCCGAACGTGTAGATAATTGGAGGTTGAATTAACAAATACAGGACAGGCCATAAGTAGTAGTATAACCGCAGATAATTTTCCACAAATAAACAAAAATAAACGAAAAATTTGGTACAAAAACTTTTCCTTCGCAATCTTGGTTTTGAAAGAATCGAGTTTGAAAATTCATGCAATTAAAACAAAAAAAGTGTATTTTGTAATTTGATAAATTAAAAAAAAAAATACATTAGAATCCGTTAATTTATCGTTAATTTATCAAGTAAAGTTAGGTATGTAACAACGAGTTTGACACTTGGAACAGTACAATAAAAAAATGAATATTTGTACATATATAAAGTGAATATGTAGTTAAATTATTATTATACTTGCACTATTTAAATACAATTGCCGGAGATATGTACATACATTGGAAGATATAGGATAGCACATAGGTAGAACAAAATGACCGAGGTATGTTTTTACAAGCAACAAAATAAGAAAAAATATTTTTAAATTCCTACAAAAGCAACAGTGACGTAGGAACCTTATGAAAAATTTATAGATATCTTGCAAAATGAATGTAAAAATTGATTGTTTTAAAGTGAAAGATTTCACGATTCTCTCAAATAAAACTGTTATTTATCTTTATCTCGAACAATGCTTGAACTTTCTTTCAAATCTATATATATATATATATCTATTATTTATTCATACGTATTTAAATTTATATATACATTGAAAAACATTTTTACGATTATGATTTGGAACAGATTGGAAGAAATACATAAAAGTATATATATTTCTTCTAATATTCATTTCAAATTGCTATGACCGTTCATTTACAGATTTTTTATAAAAATCTTTGCGTACTTTCCTATTCTACAGTGATAAGAATGTATTCTAAAATTGTGTAAATCGTAGTTGCACATACTCAAGAAAGAAATTCACAAAATTAAACTTCTTTCACTTTGTTACCATCCTTTATCAATTTCTGTTTGAATATTTCTGTTGAAATTAATCAAGCAACAAGTGCAGTATTTGTTATACTTTTCAAGTAACAACAGTTGTAACACACACACGCGCAAGTTAATCATGCAATATAAAGATATTTTTCTTTATATTTGTATAAAATTATAAAAAGATGATATAGGAAAACAAATACTTGTACAATTTACTTGTATGATTATAATTCATGCTACAAAATATTTCAATTTAAATAATCGATAATTAATTCAAAGTAATTAATTTATTTTAGAGCTATAACATTTCTTTGTTATTACCGAGCAAATTTTGTTTACATCAATACAAATGAACGATAAAAGAATAACAATTTGTACAATGTCAATTACTTACATGTATTTTGATTCTATCAAATATATTATTAAATATATCTTCGATCAATTATCGAATACAAAGAAAAACTTTACGTCCGAAACAACTTTTCGCCGTAGCGAGTACAACGAGCGTGTAAGGACATGTACGATCAACTGCGATCACTTAGAGGCAATCAGAACCAATCACGTTTCAGTTGTGTCAATAACTATGATACGGAGGGCACTCGATATCATTCGAACGTTTGTAGGATTTTACGATCTAACAATTGACAGTGTAAGAAAAATATGAAAAAATGTGCAATAATCACTGATTTTGCGGAAAATATGTTACAAATCATGGGCAGGGTTATTCTCTTTCTCTTTCTGCTCGTCACGGTCTTCACAAGTAGTTACATCCATACTAGCCTCGGAATGTAACCAGTCCACCCAATCCTCATTTATCACTTTTTCAAAAGTATACTCTTGGAAAACTTGGCTTTTTCGTACCTATTTTGGTAATACTACCGATAATAAAATGTCATCAAACGAATAATTTAAGGAAAAAAATTACCTTTTGAAACTTTAATTTTTCAAACATATTTATACTCTTTTCATTGTCGAATTTGATTTTTGCAATATATCTCGTGACGTTTAATTCGTTGATTCCTAATTTAAAGAAAAGAAAGAAACTGCGTCGTAAAGATGAAAAAACAGGAATTGAATTTGAAGAGAGAAACAACACGACGCATGTACCATAGAGCAACATTAGAATCATCGCTTCCCAACCTCTTTTTCTTCCTCTGCGAGCAACATCTGCTATCATGATTTCAACTTCTGCGGTATTTGGTTGATCCGACTCGTTAAAAAACAAATTTGTATCCCCGATCATAGCTTCTAAAATCCATTGATGTTTATGCGTAACAAAAGTAACAATGCTGAACGTACTACCGTTAAACCTACACGATTATACCTATTTCATTCTCGGTTTCGATGAAAATAGATTTATCCAAAATGATAAAAGTACATTCTGGAACAAACAAATAAATATATATCGTTGACGTGATTGCTCGTGTAATTACAAAAACAAAGACTCACTGTCTTGGTCCTGATGCCATCGCTTTTGCATTTGAAACTCCTCTGCCAATGTTAAAATCTCCGAGCCGGTAAAATACCGTAATTCCTCCGATTTCATCCACTCGTGGTACCTGAAAACAATACGTGTATCGTCTACGACATTAAATCAAACGTTATTAAAGAACAAGCGTGTTGCGTCAATTTCCCAGTTGCTTCAGGAAGGTGCACGGATCGATTTAAAAATGGCGGACATTTCTGCCAACGCAATTGACGTCGACAATCGATAACAGGTAAAACGATACCAGCCTTTCGACGTGCTTCTTCCTGTAAGGTACTAAAATCACGTTTGTACCAACAATTTTGGTACGCTCGTTGTCCTTCATAAGGCCAAGTTAATTTACACCGGAATTATCGAAGAGACGAACCGATCGAGGAATTCGAAACTAAGGAGGTTATGTGTCTCGTTCTGCCATATTGGATTCAGAGTTCGCAACGAGATGATGTAAAATTCCGAAGAGGTACAACTCGTTTTCTTCGATCTCTTTTCTACTCGCAATTCCTCGAGGGATAATCGCAGCGTTGAGAAAGGAACGTTTAAAAAGGAAGATGGCTTATAATTTTCCGGGTGTGCCAGCGGCTGCTATGCCACCAATGGGTATGCTCGAATATCATAACCATACATTTCACGTTAGTCGTTTTCACGTTTCACGTCGTTTGTTGGTACGTATATTTAGAATATCCTGTGTACTTTTTAGGTATAGGGCCAATGGGGCCTCTCGCTCCAATCGCAGGCCCGCAAAGTTTTATGGAATTAGCGGGCCAAGGATTTCCTCCTATACCTCCACCGATACCACTGCCTGGAATGAACGATTCTCCGTTAGAATTTAGTACAAATAAAAATCAACCGCCAGTAGTTAGAGAAACTTCGGAGGATAACAGCG